TTACTTATGGGAGAATAAATTGGTACAAACCCTATGGAAGGCAACTTGCCAATATTAATGTATATATATATACTTATATAACATACAATTATAGGTAAAATATACCAAGATGTAATCACCCATTTTAATAAATACTACATAATTATAATAATGATCTTTTGTTAGTTGCCCTACATTATCAAAATTATATTAGTATATGATTGTACTTAATATCTTAATATCAGTATATCTTTTACATATGTGTGTTTATGTCTGTGTGTGTATGTTTTCTCTTGATGTCACAACTTCTGGTAATTTATTCTACATATATGCTGGCACATGTGTGAATTGACTTGCATATAAGGTTGTTCATTGCAGCATTGTTTATTAGAGGAAAAGAGAACCTAGATTTCCATAAGTAAAGGATTGGGCTCATAAGATATGCCACATCTTTGCAACAGAATAGAATGTAGCTGTACAAGAGAATGATAATGATTTATACAGGCTAATATCCCTTATCCAAAATGCTAGGGACTAGAAGTGTTTTAGATTTTGGATTTTTTGTATTTTGAAATATTTGTATATACATAATTAGATATCTTGGCGATGGGACGCAAATCCAAACATGAAATTCATTTGTGTTTCATATATACCTTATACACATAGCCTGAAGATAATTTTACACAGTATTTTAAATATTGTGCATGAAACAATGTTTATGTACATTGAACCATCAGAAAACAAAGGTGTCATCATCTCAGCTTTTCATGTGGACAATCTATGGTTGTTTGGCATTACCATTATTTCTGACTCTGAATTTGTGTGCTGCTGATAAGCAATCATTTTCTTATACTTATTCACACATCAGTACTTAATAGTAAAAAATATGGCACAACCTTAATATAATGAAAAAACAATATGTTCAGAGTAACTAAGCAGCGCAGTAGTATCACCTTATACCTGCTTCAGCTGTTAAACAACGGCAAAAACAAATAATGGCAGGCTTTCAGTTTCCACATTATGATCCTAGTTTTGATTAGAAGGTTGCTGTACCTTTTAGGAGAGAAGAAACATTAGAAGTAGTTGAGGTGCTTCTAGGCACCTGGATCTAAAGGATCCAGGAGGTGGATTCTCTAGGGATGAGGAGGCCTTTTGGTGGATGGTTTTTAAAAGTGTTTCCTCCAGAGTCATTTGCCTTATTAACAACAGTTTTTGTCTTAGAAGTCTCCTTTTGATTTTATATGATATGATTTTTTTGTTCTGTTATGAATGCACTCTGCTCAAGTCCTTCAATAAGCCCATCACACATTTTCCCTGTGCCATCTTTAGGTACTTTGTCTGCAGTGTTAATAGTGTCATCTTCATCATCACTATTACTGTAATAACCTTAATTCAGAACCATTTCAGCTATTTCACCATTGGTCAATGAATGAACAGCTGAAGACTCATTATCAGTGTTACAAACTTCTTTGCTATCCACTTCTTCCAGCTTACTGATGGACTCTGAAGGTATATTTTTTACATAGATAAAGAGGTTAGACATCATTTTTTTTCACTTGACATATGGAATCCTTCCAAGTCACTACCATGTTTCTCATTATCATTGAATATAATTGCAGGCCAGAGGTTGTGTCAGAAATGTATAACTGAGTTTTTAAAAACTGTTCCAAGTGTTGGCAGCAGTATGTACAGCATCCTTCATGCTACACTCTTTTTTTTCTTTTAGACGAAGTCTCATTCTGTGACCCTAGTTAAAGTGCAGTGGTGTCATCATAGCTCATTGCAATCTCAAACTCCTGGGCTCAAGCAATCCTCCTGCCTCAGCCTCACGTGTAGCTGGGACTATAGGCCATGTGCCACTGTGCTTGGCTAATTTTTCTATTTTTAGTAAAGATTTGGTTTGCCTTTCTTGCCCAGGCTGGTCTTGAACTCCTGAGCTCAAACAGTCTTCCACCTCTGCCTCCCAGTGCTACACTCCTTTTGAAAACCTTTTATACCCATACCTCTGTTCACTGCTGTGAGCATGCTGTTCAAGAATTTTTACTCTTCATTGAGCTAAGGATACCCTGGTCACATGGCTTAATTAATGAAGTCACATTTGGGGGAAAGTATTAATACATAGGATAAACATTTTGTAAAAAAATTTTATTTTTTGTTTGCATGCTTCATTTTTTCTTAATATTTTTGATGAGAATACTGCAGGAGGATGAACAGAACATTTGTCAAGGAATAACAAAATCTTTCAGTTATCATTCAGTCCAGCTTCCTGCAGTGAGTTCCAGTTGTTGGTGTAACTGGCTCTATGAACAAATGTCATTGACCCCTATGTGTTTTTTATAATCTCCCTCTCATATTTTATATTTTCAGGCCAATAGGTCTTGATGGACAGAACCCCGTAACTTTTAACTAACTACTTGATCTTTCTGAGTTGTTTCCCAGAAATGACAATTTCTGTAAGACAGAGGAGTGAATATTCTAAAGGCCCCTGGGCAGACTTCCAAACTCCAATACTCCTCACCTTTCACCTACATGCCCAGTGGATGGATGTAGCTCCTTGTTAATTTCAACACATCCAGCCCCAAAGCAGGTAGCCCCTCCTTAAAAAGCCTGTACTCTCCCTTTAGAGAGATGGATTTGAGGCTGATTCTGATTCCCTGTGCTCCCAACAGGTATATTTCATATTAAAAATTCCTTTTTTCCTTTGCAATCCTCATTGTCTCAATAATTGGATCTTTATGCAGCAAGTAGCAGGACGTAGGCCAAAACCCACTTGGGTTTTTGATTTCACTGGTATAAAATGTTTGTGAAACAATTTTAGAAAACATGTTGCTGGTGATCCACGCTTTCTTGTCATGTAATAGTGGACTGGTAAGAAATTCACTCTTTGAAGATGGGAGGAGAAAGATGCAAGCTTTTGCCTGTACAGCAAGTTTCCACTTATGCTTGCCTTCTTCATTAACACATTATAGCACAGTTATTCTGTCCTTGGCATTCTTAATTCCTGTAGGGGCTATTCTGTCATCTGTAGTCAGTGTCTTTTTGGATCAGTAATGCCAAAACAGTGACTTGGACAGCAGTGACTTGGACAAACTCACCAATGAATTTCTTAGCTCCTTCATGATCAACAGATGTTTTATCATGACAAATCTTTAAAAATTTAGTACTGTGCCTTTTCTCAAATTTCTACAACCAGCCTTTTGAATATTCACAGTCCCTTTCATTTTTCAGTTCATGATAGATACTTGCATGTTTCATGATATTAACAGTAAAAAACTGTAAAATATGTTAAAGAGATTCTGAGCCAAGTGTGTGTGACCAATGACCTGGAATACATGGCCTCAAGAAGTCATGAGAAAATGTGCCAGGTTACAGTTTGGTTTTATACACTCATGGAGTCAGGAATCACATGTAAAATCATAAATCAATACATAGAAGACGTACATTGGTGGGCTTAAAAAGGTAGGACATCTGGTGGGGGGAGGTTACAAGTTATAGGTAGGTTTAAAGATTCTTTGATTTGTAATTGGTGAAGGAAATAAAGCTTTCTCTAAAGGCTTGAAACATTTTAAGAATGTCTGTTAATCAGAGATAAGCCACTGGACATTTACAGAAACTCAAATGTTCCAGTAAGTAAATTGATGGCCTGTAGGTGTGGTTTAAACTTTGTTTTGCATGGCCTTACGTCCTGTTAATGATTTAGTATCTTATTGTTACAAAGAGTATCTCCAAAAGGGATGGGGCATGACCAGGCATGTCTGACCTCCCATCTCCTCATGGCCTCTAAATCAGCTTTAGGGTTTTTCTGGGGTCTCCTTGGCCAAGAGGGGGTCCATTCAGTCAGCTGGGGGGCTTAAGATCTTTTTTTAGTTCACAATGATCAGCATATTATTAAATGATATATGTTCACTGTCATCCACTCTTTCAGTACACATTTAAGATCTTCATTTTTACCTTTATGCAGTGTTTTTCTGTTTTTCATTAACTTCTGTTCATCACTTTCAGCATAGAACTTCCAACAGTTTATCCTTCTGTTTCTTCAGGTCATATCTGGTGGTCATTAAGACACCACAGTCTTCTCTAAGACTTTTTTTTTTTTTTTTTTTTTTTTTTATTATGGGGGTACAGATTTTAAGGTTTCAATAAATGCCCATTTCCCCCCCTTCTCTAAGACTTTTGACACTTACACTGCTCCCCAGTTTCTCTAGCAGCTTGAGTTTCTGTGCTAAAGATAAACATAAATACTTTCTCTTATTACGGTTACCTGTTGGGTATCTGCAGGCTTTTTGACATTTTAAATAATTTCTTTATAGCACAAAGCAGAGAATAAACAGAAAAAAACAGTAATACATGTAGGCCTTGGCCCTGTGTGGAGCATTGTGGGGAACCTGTTGTTGGTGTGCCTGGCCTGCACGTGTGCCATGTTATTACTCTTTGTGGTTGTGCTTGCAAGGGGGAATCTGGGTGTGTGTGGAAAAGATACATTGCAATTGAAGGGTGCTGGGAGGTTCCTTTTTCCCTTGGGGTTGCTGAATAAACTGTTGTGTGTCTGCGTTTTGGCTATGACCTGTCACATGAGGTGAGGTGTGGAGTTTTCCACTGTGGAGGTAAGCCAGTGCTCAAAGAGTTTGGATCTTAGAGCATTTTAGATTTCAGATTTTCAGATTAAGGATGATTAACCTGTATGTACTGATGTAAAGATCTCCAACATAGGTTATATATTGTTAGGTGAACTCATCAGGAAAGACACTAGTAAGTATAAAGAAGAGTGTGTATAAAATACTATCTAGTATATTAAAAAGGGGAAGACTTAGGAATATATATTCATATTTGTATAAAGGGTTCACAACAAACTAATAAAAGTGGTTATTTTGGGGGATGTTGCTGGGCACATGAGGAATGTGGCTAGGGAAAAGATGTTTACTGTATAACTTTTTATATTGTTTCATTTTTGAGCCATCTGAATATATTGCCTATGAAAAATTTTATAAAATGTCTCAAAGAAAATATTTTTTTTTTGTCAGTAAGCTAAAAAAGCTGAGTGAAGACAGTTTGACAAAGCAGCCTGAAGAAGTTTTTGATGTATTAGAGAAGCTTGGAGAAGGGTAAGTACAAAAAATATGAAAGCATTCTGATAGTGATAGATAATTAAAACATACTATATGATATTAATCTTTCAACTAGAGTTGCCATTTAATGGAATGGCAATCTCAAATGTCAATATTTGCTTGCATTGAATAGTATTTATAGTAATTAAATTTGGCAGTTGATATGGAATCTTAAAGATTAGATTGTGCTAGATCTGGTAATGGTGTTTTTCAGAGAAGTTGGCCATATATTAAATATATAAGGGAAAAGATATGTGCCGTGAGATGATTTCTAAGAGGACTGTTAATTTATCCCATATAACATTCTCATTAATAAACTTGAAAGGTTTTGACTTTGTTGGGCAAGTGACCATAAGGCCATCTTTTTCGACTTTGGGGTTTATTCTGTTTGGGAAAAGGTAAGTAGTAGGCATAAATTGAGTGTCTCAGTGAGGAAAATAGTATTTATAGGCAGAGGAATAGTTGACATGGTTTTAAAATAATAGTAGACAAACGTCTCATTTTGAGTACAAAGAAAGGTAGGAAGCATTTAATGGAATGGCAAAGTATAGGAGACTTTCACATATAAACAGAATTCAGAGCAGCTTAGATCAGTAAGAATAAGACAAGGAAATGGAAAAAGTGTAAAATAAGGTAAACATAAGATAGAAGGAATAAAGTCAAGTGTATTTTTCATTAAATGTCAATGCTCTCATTAAAAGACAAACTATGAGAGGTAAATTAATATGCAAAATCTAGCTATCTGCTATTTATGAGAGAGCTATATGAAACAAAAAATGGAAATATCAGGATATTCCTTATAAAAATATTAAATAGGAAAGAGATAAACATACAATTAATAAAAAGTATTAGTAGCAATATTTATTTTAGATAAATTAAAGTTAAAAGATCTCAACTGAATGAAGAGGGATATTACATAATGATACAAAAGATAATGTATGACGAAACATAATGTATATCAGACAACATAGCAGCTAAAGTTATGACAGAAAAGCTCTTAGTAATGTTGGAAATCTAATAAAAGTAGTTGCTAGTATCCTCTGGACCCTTTCTGTAAATATTTTTAGGGAGTGGGTGAGCAAGTCACATACAGCATATATCCATTCTAGTACTCCATTGCCTTGAGCCTTTTATCTTCCTCAGTGTACACTGAGGGTCACTTGGCATCTTGCTTGATGTAGGCCTCTGTTGAGTTTAGGTTTCAGTTAAGTAGCTGAGCAAACTGTTAGGGACACCCTCAACATGAGCTAACACACTGAGTCTGGTATTTCTTGCATCCTTGTCATAAATTCCTTTCTCCCTGGAAATCTTAGAATCCATTCCCATACATGTTATTTAGATTTCTGCTGATAAAAATTGGCAAAAATCTTACAACTTTTTTGATGTGAATAGTATTTGTTCTTAGGTTAGATTTTATACTCATCCTCCTGGGGTCTATAGGGATTTGAGTATAATTATGGGTCCAGCAATGAAAGGGGGTGGTGGAGTGTTCCAGAGGAGAATCCACATTCTCCTGAAAAGTGACTGCCTCAGAGGAGGTAGAGAGAGTCTTCAGGCATTGTGAGGCTAATTTTCTTAGGAGGGCAGGGTTAATTTTTGCTAGTAAGGAAGGCTTGATAGGGTTTGGGGATTCAGAGTACTCAGATTAATGATAATCTACCTATGGCTGAGCATGGTGGCTCATGCTTGTAATCCTAGCAATCTGGGAGGCTGAGGCAGGCGGACTGCTCGAGGTCGGGAGTTCTAAACCAGCCTGAGCGAGACCCCGTGTCTACTAAAAATAGAAATTAATTGGCCAACTAAAAATACATATACAAAAAATTAGCCGGGCATGGTGGCGAATGCCTGTAGTCCCAGCTACTCAGGAGATTGAGGCAGTAGGATCGCTTGAGTCCAGGAGTTTGAGGTTGCTGTGAGCTAGGCTGATGCCATGGCATTCACTCTAGCCTGGGCAACAAAGTGAGACTCTGTCTCAAAAAAACCCCAAAAAAACCCTGATAATCTACCTAAATTTCCCTATACCAATTTTCTGGGTACCTGTCTTTATTGGTAAATTCCTTAACTTTAACATAACAGACCTGGTGATGTTGTGAATTCAGTTTGTGATATAATTCAGCTTCTAGCAAGATTGCATTTTAAGTTTGTTTTTCAGAAATTTCATCCTTATGTCTAGAAGAATTAAGTTATTCTTTTAGGGACTTCAAAGTTTTCTGGTTTTCTCAGACTTGAGCTGGTCATTTAAGCCCTGAGCTTGTGATATTTGTTGTATAACTTTTCCAGTGCAGGCACAGGCAGCACTCTGTTCAATAGTCATTGTACTTATCTTTTAGTTATTTCTCATCTTTTAATGATGATGATAGTATTTTTTTCTCATGTTTGTGGTTTGATAATGTATGTAAAAACACCTAGCACAGTACTTGGCTTATAGTAGGAACTCAGTATGTGGTAGTAGTTTTTAACCTTGTGTTTTTTTAGTTCATACAAAAGTATAAATGGTTTCCTCCTTCATTGTTTTTGCTTTTTAAAACACATAAATATTTAATCAGCAAAGTTTCAAGAGTTTAAGCAGAGATAGTTTTTTGGCAAGTGACCATTGGATCCTATTCATTTTATTTACATGTGAGTGTGTAGTCTCTCTCTTGAGGAAGAGGAGACAGTAAAAGGAGTATTTTAAGAGATCTTGGATCTGTAACTCAGGTAGAACCAGATGGCTGAAGATTCCCTGCTTCTCTAACTTTCTTGTTAATGTGGTCCCCATTTTCTTCTTAGAGTCATATTATATATATATTTTAACCCTATTTAAAGAACAAAATAAAACTTTGAGGGGAAAAAAAAATGTGCTCCCCAGCTGAAAGTTTTATCTGTTCTTAAGTACTCTGAGCAAGGGTGTGGGACTTTGATAGTCTAGGGATTATTTTGCTTGAGATTGGCCTTTTCTCCTAATTTGAGAATTTGGCTATTTTTTTTAAATTTATTTTTTCCCCCTGTACGTCAGTGGATGCAAAGACTTTGGCTATTTTTAATGTACTTCTTTTAATTTCCATTTATATCTTCTTAGTGCTGTGTTTATTTGAGTTGACAAACCATAAGTCTGTTTCTTTCATAGGTAAGAATAATAGCAACTTATATATTAACTTGATTTTAAGTCTGTATTTGAAGCAATTAAGCTAAGATACAATTCATTCACTTTTCTTATTATTTGTTTACTTTGATTTTTTACCACTTAAATGGTGTTTTAAATTAGAAAAGACAATGAACAAACAACTCATAGACTTTTTATCTAATAGTTATGATGTTTGGTGTAAAAAATAATGTCATGGTTTTTTTTAGGTCTTATGGAAGTGTATTTAAAGCGATACATAAGGAATCTGGTCAAGTTGTCGCAATTAAACAAGTACCTGTTGAGTCAGATCTTCAGGAAATAATCAAAGAAATTTCCATAATGCAGCAATGTGACAGGTATGAAGATACCTTAAATTTTCTTTGTTTACCTTCATTTTTATGAGTTTTGCGAATAATGTATAATAAAATGTTTTCTTTGGTCATCTGTTTAATTTTCTTTCCTGACTTCCTGTTGGAAGTGAGACTGATCCTTTAAGGAAGTTGAGGACAGCTTTCTAGGGTTGTCCTTAGGACTTATAGCTCTTTGTAGCTCTTCTGCTTAAAAGCAGAAATGATGTTATGAAAGAACAGGTGGCGAAGAAAAATACTCAAGTATTTTTTCTCTTTTCAGAACAAATTTATGGGTGAAAATGATTTTTTGATGTTAAGGGGTTCATTTAACAGTCTATATTATATAATCATTACTGATTAAAATAGTCATGTTTTATGTAAATCTAATTCATTCAACAAACATTTACTGAGTCCCTAGTTGATCAGGTTCTGTGCCAGGATCTAGGAATACCAAAAGAACTAAGATTTAATTTTTTTTTGAGGGCTAGTAGTCTAGTTGGGAAGACAAATATATAAACAAATAGCTCTGATATAGCATAGTCACTGTACTGACTGGTGCATGGGATGATGAGAGCACAAGAAGGCAGGGCATTTTCCTCAGCCCAAGGAGTAAGAACGTCTCGAATGCTGAAGGAATGGAGAAATGAGAGACAGTAAAGAGAGTTATAGGTAGAAAGGTGAAAAACAGCTTACTGGTATGTGCTGTGCTGATATGGTTTAGAATTATTAGAGTGGAAAGTATGGGACAGAAATTGGTATGAAATGAGGTTGGATAGCTAGAGGAACTGAGAATGATGGGTCTTATGTGCAATGTTAAGTATCCTGAGATTTATTCTATAGGGGATGCAGAGTATATAAATTAGGGCTATGTTTGCCCTATAGTTACTTAACCACAGAGGGATTTAATATTTTTTCTTAGCAAAAGGTCTGAAGGTAGGGCTGGTGGTACAGCAGCAACAAAGTGACATCTGTGTCTCAGGCTTCTTTTCTTGTACTCTGTTATGCTTAGCATATGGCCTTTGTCCACATGCTTATTATCTGTTGGCTACAAGAGAGCTGCTATAGCCCCAGCCTTATGTCTACATTCCAGGCAGAAGGAAGGAAGGAAAAAGCAGGAAGGGGCATTCCCAAGAATCCTCAGCTTAAGTCTTATTTGTCAGAATTACCTCATGTGGTAACTTATAGCTGATGATTTAGGAGAGTCTGGACACATTGTTACCCCGAATGAAATCACAACCCTATTAATAGATTCATGGCAAACTTTCCCTCCCAACATTATATAAGCTCTCTATGTGGCCAGGTGTGGTGGCTTACATTTGTAGTCCTAGCACTTTGGGAGGCTGAGGTGAGAAGATCACCTGAGGCCAGAAGTTTGAGATCAGCCCAAGCAACATAGTGAGACCCTGTCTCTACAAAAAATAGAAAAATTAGGCAATGTAGTGGTACATGTGTATAGGCCCAGCTACTTGAGAGGCTGAGGCAGGAGGATTGCTTGAGTTTAGGAGTTTGAGGTTGCAGTGAGCTATGATCATGCCACTGCACCCTAGCCTGAGTGACAGAGTGAGACTCTGTCTCAAAAACAAACAAACACACAAACAAAAAAATTATATGCTATAAGCTCTTTGGCGAATGAAGTAACTGAGTAATCCTAGTAGAACTTCACTGCTTGGATCTGTTCATGCTTTTCTTTAAAGTATGCTAAATATTCAAATTACGTTACATATTTTTCAAAAAGGCTATATAACTTGAAATTCAAGTAGTTATAGAAAAAACAATGCATTCTTCAGCCTTCAGATCAAAGTACATATTAATAATTGCAAAGTTTTCCCAGACCTTGCTATTAATTTGGTAACTTTGGTTCCCACAGTTTGATGTTGAAAAGGAGACTTAGCATAGTATAGTGCTGGGCCCATCAGGTGTGCTTGATACTTTCCTGATACTAGTATTATTTTATTATTATGGTTAAAAATAGTTCAGGTACTAGTGCTATACTTTAGAGATTTTTATTGAGTGTTGTCTAGGGAAGGCAGGGTCTCAAATATTACCTATTCTTCTTCTAACCTTTGTGCATCTTGGAATCATCAACTCTTGCTCAGATTTCTGCAATAGTGTCTAACTCATTCACTTTGTCTTTCATTTTTGCCTCCTTCAACTCATTTTCTTCCTTGAAGCTAGAGCAATCTTTCTAAAATGCAAGTCTAATCAAACTGTTCCCTATTTAAAATACATAAGTGGCTCCTCACTGGTCTCCTGAGGATGGTCTTACAGGGTCCTTCATGTTTTGGCTAGCATTTATGCCTCCAGTCTCTTATCCAAGTTTCTCTTTTAAGCACTGTTTACTTGCATTCTCCGTCATCTGAGTTTTAAGTTCCTTGAGTTGGAGCATTATGTTTTACTCAGTGTCCTTGGATCCTGCCATATAGTGGTTACTGAAATACTGATGAGTACTTGTAATTCTTATCTGGGCAACTCAACTGAAATATCCAGAAGGAGCTTCACATTTAATATTCTAAAACCAAATTTTTGATTGTTCCAGGCAAGCCTTTTCCTGTTGTGTTAATGGCATCATCATCTCCGTAGTCTTTCAACAACAAAACTGAGAATCATCTTTATTTCTTTTTCTCATACTTCTGATGATACTAAGTCTTATAATTTTTCCTCTGAAATGTCTTTACTATCTTTATTCTTCTTTTATTCCTTGAAAGAAGGAGTTATTAGCACCACCTTTGGTTGAGTGAATGAATAGATATCGTATGTATGTGGAGGGTGGGGAAGAACATTATAGATTAGAGGAACACTAGAGAAATCAGCTCCAAGTTTACAGGGAAGGAAAAGTAAATAGAATTCTAGAGCTTGTATACCACTTTATAGCAGAATGCCGTGTATGTAGTAGGTACGTTCCAAATATTTATTGCATGAAATAAATGATGAAACATATTTATAAAAATGGTTTCTGCCTTTTGGATTTCACTCTCAAATTCATATTATAAGTATGAAATTGTGAAGTATGAAAAAAATTAGTTGGGTAAAAGATCCTATAAAAATGCTAAAAGATAGAGTAAGTAAATAATAAATTAGGAAGTTACAAAAGCAAGCATTGTATGTTAACTACTGATTATTAACATTAAAAACAATTTTAAATTGGTCTTTCTCTGTTGCCTGTTGCCCAGGCTGGAGTACAGAGGGACATTCATAGCCGACTCAAACTCCCAAGCTCAAGTGATTCTCCTGCCTCAGCTTCTGAAGTAGCTAGGACTACAGGCACATGCCACCATACCTGGCTAATTTTTAAATTTTTAAAAATTTTTTGTAGAGATGGGGTCTCACTACGTTGGCCAGGCTGGTATTAAACTCCTGGCCTCAAGTGATCCTCTGCCTCAACCTGACAGAGTGCTGGGATTATAGGCATGAGCCATTGTACCTGGTCCTGATTACTAGTATCAATATAGGTATGTTATTGAAAAATTGGCATAAAATGATTTGGAAGAAAATAGTACAAATTGAAAAATTCCCACATAAGACACTGAAATTTTGGTTAGGGAAAATGAGATAGGCATTTCTGAAATTTAACTATTAATCTATTCAACTTTTTGGGCACTTGGTAAATTGTCTTACTTTCTACACTCTATAAAGAGACCATGTTTTAATCATTTTTTCTTCATTTTAAGTGACTACTAAGCAATGTCCTGAATACTTAATTTTGGCATAAATATTTGAGGAATCCTATCTGCTTTGTTTAGTGCTTAATCTTCAGTGTCTAGTTCAGTACCTGGTACAGAGTAGGCACTTAATAAATATTTGTTGAATGGATGGATAAATTACAGAATATTAATGCTAGACTAGATCTTTGTAGGTCTGCTAGTATTTTTCAAATTGTACTCTGCTCTCAGGAGTTACTTTTAGGGGTATTTTTTGCAAACAGTGAAGAATTGAGTGGAATGAGAAACATCATTATTGTTTTTATCTTTTTAATATATTGGGACTCATTCTAAAATTTTATTTAAGGAAAAGGCTTCTGGTGCTAAAGCATATTTAAAAACTATTTTACAGGTATACGGTAAATGAGACCTCAATTTTTTATGTGAATTGCCCAAGATCACATAGCCAGTGAGTGACTGAGATGCAGTAAGAACCCACATTTGCCCTATTCCAGGGCCACTGCTGAAGAAAGCAGTGTCTGTAAAAAGATTCCAAAAGTTGAAAGTGAAGCACTCTCAAGGCATTCCTAGGTGTTGAGGCAAGGGCTGGTCAGCAATACTTGTGATACTATGTGCCATGTAATGTGGATACAAGGGAACTACAGTTGACACATCTCCTGCCTCCTGGTATTTATACTCTAGAGAAGGAGCTTTTCATATCTAAATGAAGAGAAATATGTTGGTATGAATCAGGGCACATAATTATTTACTTATTTACTCATCCAGCTAATATATATTGAGTACCTCTTCTGAGTGTAACCCTCATGTGCTGCTCACAAAAGACATAACAATGAATGAATCCCAGGCTTTAGAGGAACTTTGAGTCAGATGGAAGAGACAGAGTATGGGCAGGCCGTTTAGTACAGCGTGATGAAAGCTGCGGAGGGATAAATATAGGGTACTATAGGGACTTGAAGAGATAGCTAACAACCTCACCTTTGGGGATTAAGGAAAAGCTTCCCCAGGAAGATCATACCCAAGCTGAGTCCTGATGGATGGAGGCGAACCAAGTCATGGGAATATTCATTTCCTGCTGGCCTGCTCAGAGTGTCACTGTGCACTCCCCAGCTTCAGCCAGAGCATCTTTTTCTGTTCTGTTTTCTCATGTTCCTGGGTAAGATTCCATTTGAAGAGATACTAATCCAAAAAAAATAAAAACCCTCATATGTATGTTCATTCAGTTGTGGTGGGCCAAGAAATAAATCTCAATGATTGAGATTTATATTGGAAATAATTCAATTCTCATAGAAGAATATTCACATTGCCTTTACAAAACACTATTTATATTACCCCTGTTAAGTTGTATAA